ATGCGGAAAAATCAGAAACAGATCAGGTGGGCGCTGTGGCGCTCACCTCCAGGCACCGTAACCGACGCTGCAGCATTGGACATTCTAAAAATAATTTTTTTTTTCAAATTATTTTCTCCATCCCAAATTCTTTTTCAAATCCAATACCAATTTTCAACTCCCAATGGACTTCCAAAATAGAATTTGAACTTGACATATGACTCCAATAACATTCCAAACTGAATTCTCCTTAACATACACTTCGATTAGAATTTTTCAATTACTTCAATAAGGAATTCGGGTCACTTTGAAAATAAATAATTTTTCATACTTTTAATTTCGACTATCATTTTGTAATTGTGACATTCTTGTCATTAATCTAATTATCTTATTGTTGGCCAAATACTTTATAAAAAGTAATAAGAACGTTAAAATGGGTTTTCCATTATGACAAACATTTGAAAGAGAATGATGGCTCCCTCCACTATTCAAAAGGAAAAGGCCAAAAAAAAAAAAAAGAAGAAGAAGAAAGAATGAAAGGAATAAAAACGACATTCAATCTAATAATATATTCAATAATGATAATAAAAAATTGACATCCCATTCCCTAAGAGTCACCCACCCATAAACCTCTATCTCGTTGGAGTCCCCTTATCACTTTATGGATCAAACTTTTGAATTTTATCCACACAAGATAATGTTACATCCTAACTGTATAATTTGTGAAGATCAATAATACTATAATTATAAGATAATCTTGATTTTAATGTCGAATTATTTATTTTCTCTTATTCGTCGAAGTTAATTTTGTCTTTTCTTTCCTACTCAACGGCTATTTGGAAGGAAACATAACATCGAATCTTTCCCTTTAAAAATCCATGGAACGTCGGATTATATCACCGCATGTGATAGTTTTGACAGTTCATTATCTCAATAATAACTCCTTTGAAAAATACCATAATTGATTTTTCTAAAATTTTCACTATCTTTAAAATGCATAAATTTGCTAAACTCGAGAATTTTTCTTAAAAAGAAAAATGTAGCCACTATTTTTATCCATCATTTTAATGGGTATTTTCATCTAAGATTTTGATGGATTTTAAAAGATTATAAATCCAAATGAATTTTGTGAATTTGAATATGTTTCGACAAATTTCATTAGAATCTTATAAAATATGTATTGAAGCTGGAAACAACAACACGTTTGGAGGGAAAAATATTTACATTACTTGAAAATTCAACAATACATCAACTGGTTAAATAAACATGAAGGAAGAAATAGGTGGGAAAAACAATCAAGAAACATCCAGCGGGCATAACTAACTTCTAGCTGGAAAATGAAAGAAAAATTATTTCTAATACTCCCCCTCAAAATGTGCAATAAATGTCTTTTATGAACATCTTGGACAGTAATTGTGCTAAAGATGAAGGAGGCAATGACTTGGTGAAGAGGTCTGCAAGTTGATGTCTTGAACGGACTGGAAGGAGTTTGATAATCCCATAATTAATCTTGTCACGTGTGAAGTGACAATCAACCTCTATATGTTTTTTTCGCTCGTGAAATACAGGGTTGGTGGCAATCTGAATGGCCGCCTGATTATCGCAAAAAAGTGTGGCTTGGGTAGAGGTACAAGCTTGGAAATCATTCAACAACTGTCTGATCCATATGATTTTACTCACATCGGAAGCAAGCGTCATGTACTCTGCCTCTGCTGAAGATCGAGATATAGTAGGCTGCTTCTTGGATTTCCATGAAACCATTGAGTTGCCAACAAAAATACAAAACCCCAATGGTTGATTTTCGAGTATCAATGCATGATCCCCAATCAGTATCTGAGAATGCTCTAATGTTAATGACATTATTTGATCCTGTATGCAATGGAAATAACAGTCCTTGACCAGGGTGACCCTTTAAGTATCTCAGCAGGTGATGGACTGCCTTTAAATGTGGCATCCTTGGACTGGAAACATACTGGCTCAACTTATACACAGCAAAGGTTATGTCAGGTCGTGACAAAAGTGAAGTATAGAAGCTTCCCAATTAACCTCCTATAATGGGAGGCATCAGGGAAAAAATCCCCTTTATGTTGACTGAGAGTTAGTTTATTATCCATGGGGCTGATAACAGGCTTGCAATCCAGGTAATTAGTGTCTTCAAGGAGCTGCATTGTGTATTGTCCAAGAAATATTTCAGAAAGCCCAGATCTTTGAGCTTGAACTGTGAGTGTAGAAAGGCTTTCAAAGAATTTATCACCTCATTGTTTGGTCCAGTTATTACAATATCATCCACATAAACTAATAAAGCCACAAAATTCCAGAGGATGATCTAGCAACTTCAATGCCCAAGAAATATTTCAGAAAGCCCAGATCTTTGAGCTTGAACTGTGAGTGCAAAAAGGCTTTCAAAGAATTTATCACCTCATTGTTTGGTCCAGTTATTACAATATTATCCACATAAACTAATAAAGCCACAAAATTCAGCCTTGTGCTTCTTGTGAAAAGAGAATAGTCTGCCTTTGACTGTGTAAAACCATGTTGTATAAGAGAATGAGTAAATTTTGAATTCTACTGTCTCGAAGCCTACTTTAGGCCATATAATGATTTATGCAACTTGCACACCATTTTCTCCCCCTGTTTGGCTGGCCTAAGCAAATCATAACCAAGTGGGAGGTCCATATATACCTCCTCAAACAAATCACCATTCAAAAAAGCATTATTCACATCTAGTTGAACCAAATACCATCCATAGTGAGCTGCAAGAGTAAGCATTAACTTGACTGTAACTGCCTTGGCTACAGGTGAGAAGGTATCAAAATAATCGAGCCCTTCTTGTTGGGTGTACCTCTTGGCAGCAAAGCTTGCCTTATGCCTTTCGGGTGAACCATAGTGTGTTTCCCAGGTGGTAAGTTCACAACAGACCAAGTATGATTATCTTCCATGGCTTTTAATTCAAGTTTCAAGGCTTCACACCGTTGAGGGAATTTGACTACTTGATGGAAAAATTGAGGTTCAGACTGTGAGGAAATAGATAAGGCATAGTGCTTGTGAGAGTTTGACAGATTTTGATAGGAGACAAATTTGCTTATGTGATATGGAGAATGAAAGGAATTTTGATCATCATGAGACAACAGATTACAATGGTAATCATGGAGGTATTTTGGAGGTCGAGAAGATCTTGTGGACTTTCTAACTTCAAGATTTGATGTTCTGATAGATTCTAGCAGAATAGGTAATTCAGTGTTATGTGTTTCAGTAGATTGATGTGTATCAGTTGGAGGAGAAGGGATAGTGGTATCCTGTGTATTTGGCTCCTGATGATCATGAATAGGTTTGATAGGTGGAAAAATAGGTGGAAATAAAGTGGGGGAAGGTAGCACTAGGTCAGGAAAATGATCTAGCACTTGATCACATTGAATTATGGTATGAAAAGGAAAAGTTTTTTTTATGAAAAATGACATCTCTGGAAATAAAAATCTGTTTTGAGGCAACATCAAGAAGTTTGAATCTTTTAACTCCTGAGGGATAACCTATGAAAACACTTAATCTAGCACGAGGTTAAAATTTATTTCTGTGTGCAATAAGTGTGGAAGCAAAGTTTAGACAACCAAAGACACGAAGGTTGGAATAATCAGCAAGTTTGCCATACAAAATTTTCATAAGATGTTTTGTGATGTAAAATGGGATATGGAGTTCTATTTATGAGGAATGCAGCAGTTAGTACACATTCAGACCAGTAATAAATGGGAATTCTAGACTGAAAGAACAATGCTCGAGTAACATTTAACAAGTGCTAATGCTTCCTTTCAACAACTGAATTTTGATGTGGCCTCTCAACACAGCTAAATTGATGCATAACACCCTTTTCAGCAAAGAAATTTTTACAAGCTAACTCATGCTCATTATTTGATTTGAAGCATTTAATTTTGACATCAAACTGTGTGGTAACCATGTTAAAAAAAGTATTATAGCAGCCTCTACATCAGACTTTTGATGCAACATATAAATCCAGGTAAATCTGGAACAATCATCTACTAAAGTCAGAAAATACTTGTGTCCCAAATGTGAAGCTATATGATATGGCCCCCATATATCACCATGTATCAAATCAAAGGGTTTATCAGATAATTTGTTGTGTGATTCAGAAGACAATCGTCTTTGTTTAGCTATGGGACATATATAACAAGTGAGTTGTCTATTCAACTTAGAAACATTACAAGAAACTTGATCTCTCAAGGCATCCAACCTTTTAAAGGACAAATGTCCGAGTCTATTATGCCATATATTGGCAAATACATTTCCAACAAAAATTATTTGAAATGGAATTAAAAACTCTAGTATCAAGAACATATAATCCTTGAATATTA